AGGTCGTAGGTTCGAATTCCACCGTGGCCGGGCATATTTTTCAAGCTCGCCCGGTGTGGATATGCACTCAGAGTAACATCACAAACATATTATTCACCTGAGTACACAACACCAGCACAGAGAAAATTCATATTACAAGAACACATTGGTATTGAAGGAACTAGATACTGTTCCGAAATATCACTTACTCGAACCGTCCTGACCGCGTAGCTCAGTTGGAAGAGCATTGGGCTAGTATTTCAAAGGTCGTAGGTTCGAATCCCACCGTGGCCGGGCATATTTTTCAAGCTCGCCCGGTGTGGATATGCACTCAGAGTAACATCGCAAACATATTATTCACCTGAGTACACAACACCAACACAGAAAAAAAAATTCATATTACAAGAACACATTGGTATTGAAGGAACTAGATACTGTTCCGAAATATCACTTACTCGAACTGTCCTGACCGCGTAGCTCAGTTGGAAGAGCATTGGGCTAGTATTCCAAAGGTCGTAGGTTCGAATCCCACCGTGGCGGGGCATATTTTTCAAGCTCGCCCGGTGTGGATATACACTCAGAGTAACACCACAAATATCATATTCACCTGAGTACACCACACCAACACAGAAAAAAATTCATATTACTAGAATACATTGGTATCGAAGGAACTAGGTTCTGTTCCGAAAAATCACTTACTCGAACCGTCCTGACCGCGTAGCTCAGTTGGAAGAGCATTGGGCTAGTATTCCAAAGGTCGTAGGTTCGAATCCCACCGTGGCCGGGCATATTTTTCAAGCTCGCCCGGAGTGGATATACACTCAGAGTAACACCACAAATATCAAAAAGGACAATATTATCAAATTAAGTTATGTAGATATGAGGAGGAGACCATTATTAAGCTCATAAGAGCTTGTCGAGAATAGTCCCCGTATTTTGTTCAAGGCGTACTTTTCAAAATATCTATATAATCGAAGAACGTGGTATAAATATGTATAAATATGATATTTTTTCAATTTTCGAATTGAACAAATTGCAAACAGGTTTACTCGTGTTCAAATGTATGAAAATGAAATCTTTATTACCTCAAACATTCCTAAATTATTTCACCCTCAACAGTGATATTGATCATTATAATAACAGAAGTGCCACTGAGATTCACATCATCCAACCAAGAACAAATATCAGAAAATTTTCATTTCGTTATTCTAGTCCACATTTGTGGAATTCATTAACAAGTTATCTTACTGAAATTTATTCCATATTTCAATTTAAAAACAAATTTAAGTTCTATTTAAGAAATACAGCTGCTAACTGAATTAACTTTTTCTTTTATTTACTTGCTTTTCTTACTTTCAAGGTAACTGACATTGGCAATAATTCTGACCATACGTTTTTGAAGCGTAAACACCTTATTTAACTTGAGAGCATTTGACGCACGCATTTCGTCTCATTTTAGGGTGAAGGTGGTGATAGAGGAGAAAAGGGAGCTGAAGGTATAGTTGGACCCAAGGTATGTCATTATGTTTTGTCAAGAGAATATTTTGTAAATGTTGAATATAGAGGCCGTTTACACTTGAGATCGATTTAAAGGACTACTTGCGCAAACTTGAATGAATCAACTGAAGTAACCGTGAATGAACTGAAGTACCGTTAATAAACGTGAAACTGCAGAGCAACAACTTTAATAGGCCAAATAAAAATAATAGTTGGTTTCAGGTTTCCGACCGACCTGTCAAAAATATGACCGACCATAAACATTTTATTGACATTTCCCAGGAGAGATCATCTTTTCATAAATAGCAGAATATATAGATAGTCATCAGACTCATTTGTCTACAAATTATTTCAGTTTGCTCATAATTTAATCATTATCTAGTCATGTTAATCATAGTTTTACACAAAGAACAGTTGAATAAAACATTAAAAACATACATTATTCTAACTTGGCAGCTATATATAGCTGAAAAAAAGACGAAAACGCCTTGATTATTCTGTGGCCTTGTTGGCTTGATGAGTTTGTTTCTCGCGAAACACAAGTAGCTCGTGGGTGATCACGTGTGGCACGTTTGATCACGCATGACAGTTACTCATAAACATAAACTTATATTTATTGCATACTTGAGATAAAATATTTTTTTAAATAAAATGTTTTTCCGACCTACCTACCCATACAAAACATGACTGTGAAACCTGAAACCTGAAACTATTATTTTTATTTGGCCTTAGCAAGAACTTGGCTCGGTTGCCAAATGTAAACCTGAACCGATCCGAGACCTCTATAGTTTACATCGATCTCACTTGGCCCGATTCGGCTCCGATCTAAATTCCTAGTGTGCACACCATGTAGGCGATATTTCGATACATCAATATTATCGCGTTTTTTTTACTCACGATTATGGTATCAAAGGTAGAAACTTGGGCGACGATATAGCGGGGTAATTATCGTTGCGCGGTCGATGATTATCATGATATTGCTTCGCATGTGTGCTTTCCTTTTATAAAAACCGAAAACGATTATTTTAGTATATAATTCTTTTAGAAAACGTTTCTTTCAGAAAATATAATTTTAGGTGAATTAAAACTATTTTCTCAGTGGACAGCTAAAGTTTATGAAATAATAAAATGAAGCAATATTTTTACTTGTTTAAGTATTTCTTTCTTCTATTGGTTATTTTCTTTATTTTGTTGTTAACGATGAGATATAAAACGTAACTTATTAACTAGTCTTGGCGTAGCTTCTTATAAAGTGAATATGTCCCTTTTAGATTGAAACTGTATCGTCATTGTTTTTATTGCATTTATCGCGATACCATCGAATACCGTAAACCTCCGACTATAAG